CAACACATTCTGTTGCCTCTACCTTCATAACATCTAGAATCTGACCACTTCTCACCATCCCACGGCTGCCACCATTGTTATCTCTTGCCTGGATTATTGCAACAGCTTCCTAATTGGTCATTTTCTTCCACTCTTATCCTCTATACTAGAGGCCCAATGCACAAAATTCATGCAAGGGGCTCGGCCCTCACAGCCCCTCGCAGCCTCGGCCAGCCCTCGCAGCCCCGGCTTCATCTGAAACATTATCCTGATGGTCGTTCTGCTGTTCGGTCTAATTAATATATTAGCTCTTTATTATATAGGATTATCAACATAGTAGCCAAATACATCATTTAGAGAGTATAAGTCAGACCATATCATTCCTCTGCTCAAACTCCTGTAATGGCTATTTCCTTTAATGTAAAAGCCAACGTCCTCACAATGACTTATGGGGTGTCCTTACACCATCTGGTCCTGTTACCCTTCTGACCTCATCTCCTACCTTTCTCCTTCTTTACTTGGCCCCAGTCACACTGCCTTCCTCATGAAGGGGATCAGAATATGCCACCCCAAAATGTCACTTTGGCATATGGGTTATTCTGAGCTGAAGACGATTGAGAAATAGCAGATGCAGGATGAACTCTCTGTCCTCTCCCCATCTACCTAAAAGCAGGGCATACATTTCCCTTGGGAAGGCGTCCCCTCTCTCTTCTCTATGTCAGGAAGAGACGACAACTCTTGTCATTGGAGATGGCACAGACTTGAATCAACATAAATAAACCTACTGCAATAACCCTTAACTTCCAATGGCTTCCCTTCACATACTTGCCTTCCCAGAATTTCCTGCCCCTAGAAGCCCAAGCCCTTTTCCTTTGTCTTGCTACTTCACAAAGGTGTTGCTTTTGTTAAATAACACCTAGCTCCCAGGCCTAACCACTTCTTTGGATTTTCACTTCCTTTTCTGTGAGATCCCCTTGAACATATTAAATTAGATTAAATTAAAATATTAACATGAAATAATACTTGTTTGCCTCTTCTGTTAATCTGTCTTGTCAGTTTAATTGTCAGGGCCCCAGATACTGAACATAAGAGGGTAAAGGAATGTTTTTTCCTGCTCTGCACTGACTATTCCTCAAACACGCCAGGCACATGCCCGCCTTAGGGCCCTTGTATGAGCTGATGTCTCTGCTATAATGTTCTTTCCCAGTTATAGGCTTGACTCATACTCCTTTGCCTCCCTCAACTCTTCCTTCGGAGTTCAGATGTCACTTTCTCAATGAGGCCGACCTTAACCACCATGTTAAAAATTGCAAGGGACCAAATCTCATTAACACTAATGATATATTCTCTGTTCTCAGGGTGCACGCAGATCAAACTGCAGGTGAAGACTCTGAGACTTTCTTTTAAAAAAAAATATTTTTATTGATTTTAGAGAGGAAGGAAGAGGAAGATAGAAACATCAGTGATGAGAGAGAATCATTGATCGATGCCTCCTGCACATCCCACACTGGGGATTGAGCCCACAACCCAGGTATATGCCTTGACTGGTCAAACCTTGACCTCCTAGTTCATAGGTTCAACCACTGAGCCATGCTGGCTGGGCCTGAGACTTTCTAAAAGGCAGTGATGAGGCCATAGCACAAGGAAGTAGTCTGTACCCCAGGTTAGGGTGAGACAAGGATAGGGTAGGATATGGGGAAGGACCAGCAGAATCTGCGTCAAGAAAGAAGACAAGGCGAGACCAAGATGGCGGCATAGGTAAACACCGGAGACACAAGGAAGTAGTCTGTACCCCAGGTTAGGCTGAGACAAGGATAGTGTGGGACATGGGGAAGGACCAGCAGAATCTGTGTCAAGAAAGAAGACAAGAAATCTGGATTCAGCATAACTGAACCAGTCCTTTCAGGTACTGCTAGCTAAGCATGGTCACATTTCCTTAGTAAGGAGGGGCTGTGAGTCACCATCAGGGTCCCACTGTGAGGTGTTTGCACCCGTATATAATCATGTTCACCACCTACCGTGCAGTACAGCATGCACCGTTCTCACCTTCGAGCCAGGATGACACTCATCCTTTCAACGTTTTCATAACTCTCCGGTGTTGGACCTGAACCCTGTGAATCTGACCGCTGTTTTGGTCCTGATTCTGGATTTCAGTTAGGGTGGGACTCGCTTTTTGGCAAGGCCTATTCTTGCAGGTGTGGGCTCTGGCTAAACCCGGAATGCAGTGGGTACCCCATCATTGTTCAGGGAGTGAGTGTGGCTCAGGTGCCCGCTGCCATCTCCGGTGCAGCCTCTCACAGTGCGCACTCAGGACCATTTCTGCAAGGTTAGTGCTCCTTACTCTGAACCCACCCGTCCTTATTTCTTTTCTTTTTGAAAACACTATCCAGATGGCTAAGCACTAAGGAATCCGAGTATAGCTCCCGGTATAACTTTCCGCTCTGTCATTTCGCTGAAGAGAGAGAAACAAACCTGCTCAAAGGAGTATCTAAATAGCTAAAATTTATTCCATCCGACCTTTTTCTCAAGTTCAAGCTTAACAGTGACAGATTCTGTTTTGGTTTCCCTGTTTTCTATTTATTTTGTTGATCCTCACCTGAGGATATTTTCCCATTGATTTTTAGGGAAAGTGGAAGAGAAAGGGAAAGACAGAGAGAAACATGGATGTGAGAGAAACACATCGATTGGTTGCCTCTGGCACAGGCCCCAACCAGGGCCCAGGCCAGGGAGGAGCCTGCAATCAAGGTACTACATGCCCTTGACCAAAATTGAACCCAGAACCCTTTGGTCTGCAGGCCCATGGTCTACCCACTGAGCCAAACCGGCTAGGGCTGGTTTCCCTGTTTTCAGTTCCCCAGGCAGGAAACCATCTGCCTTGTGTGTAATGGAGACAGAGAAGCAGGGCCATTTGGTTAACGTTGACTGTGAATTTCTGGTGTGAACCAACCAGAGACTGTTCAGTTGACGTCACTATTGGAAAGAGGACAGCTGACTTTGAACCCAGAACCCTTTGGTCTGCAGGCCCATGCTCTATCCACTGAGCCAAACCGGCTAGGGCTGGTTTCCCTGTTTTCAGTTCCCCAGGCAGGAAACCATCTGCCTTGATGAAAATGGTTTAACACCGAAATTGTGTGTAATGGAGACAGAGAAGCAGGGCCACTTGGTTAACGTTGACTGTGAATTTCTGGTGTGAACCAACCAGAGACTGTTCAGTTGACGTCACTATTGGAAAGAGGACAGCTGACTCCAGACGCTGGGCTCAGACAACTCTGGATTTGAATCCAGGCTGCAATGCTTTCTACCTGGGAGACCTTGGGCTGCTTCTTAATGTTCCCAAGTTTCACCTTCCTCATCTATAAAATGGGGAATTAGAATGCCCACTGAATAAATAGCTATTGTAAAGTCATATTATTATGGGAGGGAAGCTCATCTATTGGTTCACCCAAAGGTACTGATAAAGGACTTGAATTTAATGCACTATCTCCTTCCAGAGACATTTTTCTTTTTTATTCATTTTCTTTTTCCACCACCATTTATCCCCTCTATGCCCTCTTCCACCTCCACCCACCCCACTCCCTCACCCCCGCGGTCACCACACTGCTGTCCTTGTGGTGAGTCAGAGGCATGTTCAATAGGACCCAGAGCCTCACTCCAGGGGAGGGAGCTCTGATTGGGGCACAGGGCACTCAAGGTCTTGGGCAAATAACACTGCGTGATTCAGGAGAACAGGAGCTTCCAAAATCAACAGAGCTAAGAGAGTGAGCTCAGCAACAGGGAGAGCAGTGACCCCCAAGGAGGACAATTCATTCATTCCGCTGATGTCTGCGTGCCTCGCATGTGCCAGGCACTGTGCTCAGGCCTGGAGACCCAGCAGTGAATTGAAACAGACCAAACCCTTTCTCTCCTAAGCTTGCATTCTAGTTGAAAGAGACAGGTAATGAGCAGGGGAATTAGGAGAGGGGTTAGCTGGGGTTTACAGTTTTAATCAAGGTGGCCAAGTATGCCTCCCTGACATGCTGTTTGAGGAAAGAAAGAAAGAAAGAAAGAAAGAAAGAAAGAAAGAAAGAAAGAAAGAAAGAAAGAAAGAAAGAAAGAAAGAAAAGGAGATAAGGATGTCTCCTAGAGGAATTGGACAGCCTGGGGGAGTGGAGGTGGTGGACAGGAGTAAAAGCCTGGAAGGAGGAAGGATTGTTGCCAGGCCCCGGGTTCAATCCCGCTCTCAGTGGCTGTTGACGACAGAGAGAGCAAAGGGCAGCCTGTGCTCACTGGGATCCTCTCTCCTGACCAGTGACCAGTGCCTCGCGGCTCTTTGCCTGCCTCCAGCAGCCTCATCTTTAACACCGCAGATGGACGAGCCCTTCTCTGAGGTAGGATTGCTGTGTGTGGTTGTGCAAGTTGAACACTGCTCAGGGTGACACCTCTGAAGGGGTCAGCTTACCCTTAGACATTCTAGGTTGGTGCATTATGGCAGGTGGCAGTACAGTATCCATTCCAACAAAAGCAATATATTATCTTAAAGGGTGTCCCAAAATTCACGCAAGAAGTAATTTTGACAGAAAACACAGGTTTATAATTAAAAATTGTAAATTTTTTATTGATTCATAAAGTATACAGTATAGGATTATGTACGGAATAGCATATCA